AAGTCATTGTACCTACCCCAAAGTCAAACAACCCCCCCTCAAAACCAAATCATCGAACTTGAGACAATGGGACTGACTCAAGCCCGCTTCTTACATAAGATGGAACTCACATCACCAAGCCTGCAACAAGCCATGGCGCCCATCCCCTCTAGCTTTCCTCTCACAAATTGCACAGTCTACCCATCTCGACCCTCCCCTGTAGAGCGTTACGACCTAACACCATGGGATCTGGCCATGCTCTCTGTCCACTATATCCAGAAAGGTGTCCTCTTGGGACAAGCCCCCACTTCTTTGAGCTCTGTGCTGGACGGCCTCAAGGTCTCCTTGGCTGACTGCCTCGCTCATTTCGTCCCTCTCGCGGGGCGTCTGGCCACGCATACTGATGGCTCCATCTACATCCACTGCAATGACGCTGGTGCGGCCTTCATCCATGCCAAGGCCACCCATCTAACAGTGGATGACATCGTGGCTTCGCCTTATGTCACTGACGATGTGAAGTCCTTCTTCGCCCTGGACGGTGTCATTGGCCACGATGGCCATAAGCTACCCTTACTAGCGGTTCAGGTATCTGGCATATCTGTTTGTGCATTTGCATCTGCGATTCTATTACATGCAATTCAACATGTTTGGACACTAAAATTTATATGTATTGGTCATCCCTTATTTGCTAACAATGGGCTTTTAAACCATGAGCAGGTTACGGAGCTGAGTGATGGTTTGTTCATCGGGTGCTCCATGAACCACGCGGTAGGCGTTGGTAGCTCCTTCTGGCACTTCTTCAACTCGTGGGCAGAGATATCGAGGGGAGACGGAAATTCTTTAAAGATCTCCCGGCCACCAGTACTAGAGCCCTGGTTTCTTAGGGATCGCCACATTGCCATGCATCTTTCAGAGGATACCCTTGAAAGATACTCCCCACCTCCCCTACCTGAGAGATTTTTCCATTTTAGCACCCGATCAATAGCATTGCTCAAGCACAAGGCTAACATGCACATAGATGAGGATGTATCCAGCAAGATCTCTTCTTTGCAGTCTCTAACAGCACTCATGTGGCGAGCTGTGACACGGGCTCATGGTCTCCCTACAACTCAGACCACCAAATGTGGGCAGGCCGTGGGGAACCGATCAAGGTTATCACCGCCTCTATCACCTGACTACTTCGGCAACTCCATCCAAGGTATTGTTGCGAGTGCAACAGTAGGGGAGCTGCTCAGCCAGGATTTGGCTGGGTAGCATCATTGCTGCAGCAGGCTACTCTGGGACATACAAATGTGAGTGTGCGAGCCCATCTCGAGGCTTGGATGAAAGCACCCCGGCAAAATCACTTTAGCGACTTTGACCCTTTCAGTATTATGTTTGGGGGTTCACCCAGATTCTCCATGTATCAGAATGATTTTGGATGGGGGACACCCCTCGTGGTACGCAGCGGTAATGCGAACAAGTTTGATGGCAGAATCTATGCTTACCAAGGGAGGGAAAGAGAAGGAAGCATAGACATTGAACTGTGTCTTGCCCCACAGTCCATGACTGCCCTTGAATCAGACCAAGAGTTTCTTGAAGCAGTTACAGAGCTGTAAATGGTTGGAAAAAATTAATCAAAACTGAGTGTGACTCATACTCGCATTAGTT